TTAAGTACTTTAACCGCTAGAAGAGCGGTCACGCTTTCTTGTTATTTGGGTGCGCTGGTTCAGGTATTTCAAGGACTTTCCAATATAACGACAGCATTCAGGGAACATCCACAGAAGCAGCAACTGTTCTCCATTAACACGTTTCATACAGTCCTTAACGTTGCCTACAGTCCTCATTTTAAAAAAGAAATGAAAGTAGGTTTATGCAGTCTTCATTCTGTCTGTATGTCTATGTATCCTCTCCTTATTAACTTTTGAATGCCTGAACCTAACGTATCTTTATGAAACTTGGTATGTATGTCATGGCGCATGAGCCCGTCTCAGTAGCGTACTTCACAACTCATTGCCATCAGTTTGTGTTTGTATGCGTATCTCTCCCATCGTTGCTAGGCAAAGGCTCACTGAACACGTTCCCGCGGCAACGAATACAAGCAGGAATAGAACTGTTTGACGCGTGTGTCAGTAGCCTCTTCTCGTTGCTAAGTAACAACTCCGTAAATACGTTCCCGCGGCAACGAATAACTGCTGGAGGCGTAGTTTCCTATGCGGTCCGTGTCGTACCAAAGGAAAGTACGCGATTTGTTACTCCCAAAACTACTCTTATAATATTAGAAGGGCTGAAATTTCATTTCATACAAAAAGAAACTTGATAGATATAGTAAACGTTTAGTCTGCGGGCAAATATTCTGGCTCCCCCCCCCCCAATCCTCCCGTGAACAAAAGGCTGGTGATGCACTTGATGATGCGTGTTCCTCTCATGCAGACTGCAGCCACCTGCTCAAGCTGGTTCCTCGCTCGCGGATTTTTCTACCCTGAAGATGGAGGCGATACGTTATTCCGAAACGTTGATTCACACAAGATCTCCATGGCGACACATCCCAAAAGACGGCATTCTTCATAGTCACCGCCGTGAAAGCCTCCAATCTTACAAGTAGGATTAAGTACATACCTCCAGTTCCCCGTAAGTTGCTATGGCGTGATGCTTAATTAATTAAGCACTGGGAGGTTCTCTCTTTTTTATCCTACCTTGACGGATTGGGCTCTCTGGCCTGTTCCATTCAGAATTATTTTGAAATCCGGGATCTTGCAGACAGTTGATGCCGGTCACAGTGGCCGCGTGGTCCAAGGCATGAACTGTCTTCGCTCGCTCGAACGCTGGGATCGTGGGCTCGAATCCCACTCAAGGCATGGATGTTTGTATGCGTTTATTCTGTGTTTGTGTTGCCCTGTGTGTAGGTAGCGGCCTTGCTACGGGCTGATCACTCGTCCAAGGTTCCTACCGTGTAAAAAAGATTACGAAATTGAAGAAGAGGCTGGGGCCCAACAAGGGGCTGTAGAGCGATCGATGAATTTATTAATGAATGAATGGACAGTTTGGAGGACTCCTTGGATGGGGGTCAGCACGTCCCAAGTCCTCTACCTACATAGGACAAGTCAAACTCAGAATAAACGCAGACAGATATCCATGCCTCGAATGGGATTCGAACCCGCGATCCCAGTGTTTGAGCTGGCGAAGACCCTGCGGACACTGATTGGCACGTTTCTATTCATTTTGATCTATGTTCGCAGTTTTAGAAATGAGAAGGCGTGACTGCTGTATGTTCGTCTGTCAGTTTCTCCTGTCTCGCCACAGCTCAGACGGGTAGTAGCTGAGTTCCCACCGCGGCGGCCCGGGTTTGATCATGTGGGATTTGTGGTGGACAAAGTAGCACCGGGGAAGGTTTTCTCCGAGTACTTCGGTTTCCCCTGCCAATCTTCATTCCACCAAATGCTCCACAATCACCCTCACCTATCATCTGGGGCTGGTACAATAGGCCAGTAGCGGCCGCAGTACAAGGGACTTGGTCTCAGCCCAGTAGTAGTAATAATAATAATAATAATAATAATAATAATAATAATNACAGGCCAGACATAATAATTAAAAACAAGCAAAAGAAAACTTGCATACTTATAGATGTATCAGTACCATCGGACAGGAATGTAGTACAAAAAGAAGCAGAGAAGAAATTAAAATATAAAAATTTAAGCATCGAAATTCAGCGAATGTGGAACATGAAATGTTTTGTGATACCAGTAATTATTGGAGCCACGGGTACAGTCACGAGAGGGTTGAGAAAATATTTGGAACTAATTCCTGGTAAGCACTCCATAGATTCGCTGCAAAAAACAGCTATCCTGGGAACATCACACATACTACGGAAAGTGCTACAGTGCGAAGCTTGAAGCCTGAGTGGTGAGATGCATCACTGGTTCAAGAAAAGGAATACCAGGAAATAAACCTGTGACAAGAGATGATAATAATGATGATGATGATGATAATAAGCATTCTCCCCATGAACCAATTGCGAGGAAAACTAATGTTGGAATTTCAAGGTTAGTGTCGTCTGGGAATAGACGCACTTTGTTCTGGTAGTTAGTTGCGGACGTTTCGGAAGGATGTACTGCCGCTAACTTCGGGATAGAAGATTAGGCCGAACGTCGGGAGAAGTGGTCCTAGCTTAAGGGAGGAGTACCGGGTTGCCACGGCCATGACTGTGACCGCCCACAGAGCACGGTGGCATATCCCTGAAGACCGACAGCACGACAGCATGAGCTTCAGCGCCATGAGAACCTCACATATCACACGGGTTTCCTTTAAAACGTAAGATCCGAGGAATGTACATATTTATTTGACACAGCGTGTGCTTTCCCAGTCACACCGGCTTGTGGGCGTAACTTTGACTAGAATAAAATTTCGAAAGTAATGACTTAAGTGCTGATGTGATCTTGCTTGAAGTGATATACCTGCATTTTGGGAATGAACTGAAAAAAACCACGAAAAAACCTCAGTCACAATATACGTTCTCAGAAGCTGAAATACGAAACGGGGCCCCCCTCCCCAGATACAACGTACCGAAGAAGTTGACTTAAGCGGTAACCCACCTGAATGACTGTTGGGCACGTGCGTAATTGTTGCTCGCCTATGTTTATCCATGTACGGCTGGTTACACCCCGACATTGCATCAAAATATTGTAACAGATCTGATCAGCGCGTTGCCAGGCAACAGCTCAGTACACACGGTCCAACAATAGATGAGGCTGTGTTTTCTATGTCGTCCGCGGCGAATAGCGGCGGAACAACGGGGTTATGCAACCCGTTTCTAAGCAACGGTTTGGTAAACAAATTTCCGCGTAAGCGGTGATGTCGCCTACAATAGAGACGGCGTTTTCCGTGGTGTCTGTGCACAGTGCTTAGAAGTGAATGCGGTGACGAAGTTAGTTCAAGGGCAATTACGGGTCAGCCGTAAGCAGGAGGGGCGAGTCCAGAAGAAGTTTTAGTTCTGATTTGAATTGCTAATTTCTGTATTGAGATCCGTTGCTAGGAGACGACAAGTGGAAACTGAGAATCCTAGTGCGTGTGCAACGGTGAAATGGAAAGTGTGTAAACCAGAGATAGCGCTGTATTAATTGCAATTAAGGGAGAGAGTGTAACCGAAGTGCTAATAAATCCAATCATCCAAACTAGAACCCGTTATTTGCGTCAGCGTGTCACTCTACACGTGACAGTATAATTTTCTTGATAGGGTAAATCCGTATTCCCCTAAAGTATGATTTGTGCAGGTAGGGTGAATTGAACAGTATTGAAATGTCCTCGGATCGAGTCTCGGCTGGAGTACGACTACTCTCACTGAGATTTTTCGTGGTTTTCCTTACTTCCCGTTGGAACAACTGCTTCTTTCGAAACCCTTTCAATTATTATTCGTTCACTATCAGTCAGTGATTCGACGCAATGTAGCCTTGATCTACTTACAGAGTCGTAAAATGAACTACAAAAAATAAATACCAAGCGGCAGATCGCAGCGGCCGCGCGGTCTAGGGCATGAACCGGCTTCGCTCGCTTGGACGCTGGGATCGTGAGTTCGAATCCTACTCGAGGCATTGTGTGCTTTTACTCTGTGCTGTTTTGCGTGTAGGTAGCGGCTTTGCGACGGGCTGTTCCCCTGTCCAAGGAGTCCTGCTGACCGTGTATAGGATGTTGAAATTGGAAAAGCGGCCAAGGTCCAACAGAGGGCTGTAGAGCCATACACAGACAGAATGGAAAGAGGGAATGCTAACTCTGCATCTTGTTTGAGAAGGTGCTCAGGAAATTGGACTTTTTTTGGAGCTGAATGTCCATTACAGTGATCAGAAGAGCCTGCCACTAGTTCCTACCATGAGCCAGTTTAATCCCCAATTTTATATTCCATTTCTTTGGACGCGAATGGAACCAGAAGAGGAATGCATAAAAGATATTGGTGGGAAAGCCAGATGGAAAGAGACCACTAGGCAGGCTATGAAGTAGGTGGGTGGATAATATTAAAAAGGATCCTATAGATATAGACTGGACCGATCTGGCTCAGGATAGGGACCAGTGGAGGGCTCTTGTGAACACGGTAATGAACTTTCTAGTTCCATAAAACGTTGGGAAGTTCTTGAGTAGCTGCACAACTGGGAGCTTCCCAAGAATGGCTCAGCTTCATACAGTTGAGGTCATTGTTGAGTTAGCACTCTGATTCCTTTTCAGGGGATCTTGGGTTCTAGTCTAGGCCCAGAGATCGGGTTATTGACGGGGGGAATGGGGTTGGCTGTTTTCTTCATCCCTTCGAGATAAATGCCGGGCTAGTACCCCAAATTATGCTGCTACCCGCTTACTTTCAGAACCTTTCAGTTCGTTATTCACTGACGATCCTAACTTTCGGCGCTATGAACTCGGAACAATTCGCAGTCGTTAAACCACAGATAAGTAAAATACAAAGATGTCTCGTAGGTAATCTCTTTCCTACAGAGTTTAAGACTAAACTTTTTATGCTTTTCTGTCTACCGCATGCGTGCTACACGTTTCGCCCATACAATCATTCTTTTTCATTTGATCACCCTACTAATAAAAAGGCCTATACCATTCTTTCCTATCCTCCTCTCAACGGTCCACATATTTTCTTCTCAAATACTGTTCAAAGCTTAAGAGAAATGGAAGAACTCACCGCATAAGCTTCTGCTCTTCTCCGCGTTCATGTTCCTTTTCCAAAATTTCACAGATGTTATAGCTCGATTATTCGGAACGAAGAACAGTGGTTCACTCACAGTATGTTCACAGTCTTGAAGACTGTCATGGATGATTCCTGAAGGAACCGACGTTCACTACAACTTCGACACTTTATGGGTATAATTCTTTCCAGGCCTTCAGCTGCTAGCTAAGGTGAAATCACTGGCATCTAGCACCTTGTTCTGACTCGGACTCAAGTATTGTCGGCGGAGAGAGGCAGAGGAGTGACGTCATGACACGAGCAGGCGAAGGCTGCGTGCAAGATGGAGGCTGGAACTCAGTTGCCTTGCCGCCTCTTGCAGAGACCAAGAAAGGCAATCCCAAGGTGACGAGGTGCATACATTTAGATTTTACCTTTACTGCGTGGGAGGCCAATACGGTAACATCGTCACAACAGTCCCACACCCCTCCTAGCAGCTTGACTGCAGTGAAACATCAGATGGCAACACGCGGTTGGAGTAGGACATGTTCATGTAACCAACTCCAAGGACCGGGTTTGATTTTTGCGTTTGGTGATCTCGTTAAGTGAGCATTTTCGGGGACGGCCATTCTAAAGTTAGTGGTTTGAGCTAGAGATGGTGGTTGCCTGTTAAATGCTACATACTATATCCTCTAGTTACGTTCTTTTTTCTCTGTGTGTACGTATATTCGTGTTACTGTATTTTTTATTGCTAGTGGGGTGGGACTAAGTCCCTTGTACTGCGGCCACTTCTGGCCTATTGTACCAGCCCCAGATGATAGGTGAGGGTGACTGTGGAGTAATTGGTGGAATGAAGATTGGCAGGGGAAACCGAAGTACTCGGAGAAAACCTGCCCCAGCGCCACTTTGTCCACCACAAATCCCACTTGCCCAGATACGGGATCGAACCCGAGCCGCCGCGGTGGAAAGCCAACGACTAACCGCTTGAGCTATGGCGCGGCCCTTCGTGTTACTGTATACTCCCAATAAATTGGGTTTATGAAATATAGAGATGAATATACAGCGCGGTCTCACTTTATGCGAATATGAAATAGTGCTGTATACTCGTAAAAATTATTAATAAAGTCTCAATCTATGCGCAAAAATTTACTAAATAATGGGAATTCCCCCATAAAATTCCGCAGTAATCACGTGAAAGAGGTAAAGCTGTCTCTGTAACAGACCATACGGTTGTGAGACGTCGAGGCTCCCACATTTTCCAGACAATCGGCTCACAGATTGCCGTGAGGTCAGCCTTACGCGCCGGCCGCCCTTTACTCCCAAGAAGATTTCCGGTACTCATTTCTGATAGAGGCTGAGTCGACCTCAGGAACATAGTGCGACTGGGAGAATTAGGTCAATTGAGAAATCCAATGATTTCATCGGGAATCGAACCCGCGACCTTCCCACTTGTAGCATAGTACGTCGACCAACTAAGCTACCATATGCCCCCTATATAGTGTATACAAGTATGTATATAAGCTATATATGTATAGATATAATGAAAGTGACCGGATACGGTTCACGAAAATAATGAACTAGCCTACGCACCAAAACTATAAACCTAATAATATAATGTGACATGACGCCTGAAAGCCGAAATTGTTTATTGTTAGACAACGGCTCGGTGAACAGGTTCCCGCAAAAATAACCGCGCACGCAACAATAGAAAAGTGTTTTTACTTCGTAAGGCAGCATGAAAACAGTTGCATGTGAATTTGTTGATGTTTCGTCTAATACTTGTGTGATATATGAATATATCGATGGTGTACATGCCTAATGTAACACACATATTATTGTATTATTTATGTTTCAGATAAGCACTGTCGAGAACGTTGGACGCGGTTGCGTGATAAAATTTTACTTGGAAAATCTTAAAATAATTCTGGAGGCATAGACAACTGAAGGTTCATTGTCAAGTAGATCTCAAAGGCAGATGACGTGGCAATGTGCAGTAGCTTGGGACGGGTCAAAGTGTGATCATGATGAAGACGAACAGAAAGGAGGAATTGCAAACGATGTAGAAGAAAAGGAGATAACAAAATAAGTAGAAGGTTAAGGAATGTGGAGTGAAGATTTGAAGTTATTACGGCGGTATCTCTGATCACGTGACGGCGCGTAGCCTGCGGAGTGTTTATCGATAAATATGTTGCCTCTTCGACCCTGAAGATGAAGGCAGTCCGTTCCTCCGAAACACCGGGAAACATCTGCTAAGAGTTCTCGGTATCACCGCCCCCCAAGACTGTAACCAGCGGTGGAGAGGGAAGGCATTCTTGCGTGTGCCGTTGCAAACATGTAGTTGCTTTACGCATGAAGTTTCTTTCATATGTCTCGGGCGTGCTACATGTCCTTCACACCTCCTCGTTCTGGACTTGGTCACGCTAGTAATTTTGAAAACTGTGGGATCATTGAATAAAAGGATTCAAATGTTGGGTTCGTTCGAGGAGTTAATTTTTGCATGTTTGTTTTGTCTCTTACGCAGTTGCTGTTGGCAGGGTCTACGCAGCTGATAAAGAGAGCAAATGCTCTGAGTTCTGCGAATTGCATTTCTGTGATAACGTGTCATGGGTTGTGAGCGACTGGAAGGTTACATCATCAAAAAAGGCCAACACACAGTGCTATATTATAACTGGTTAGAAATATCAGGCGTTCTTACTAGTGCTGATTTGTGCTCGTGTCATAACTGAACTCCACACTGCGTAAGTACACTTTAATTACAAAAACATTCCACTATTTCGTTCCATTTATTTGAAGTCAGGTCCGGCAAAAAAAAAAAAGAATTAAGTGCCACCCCAAGCGACGAGAAATTCCGCCCTTCCGCTTTGTTAAAAACAGATCAACTTTCTTAAAACCTCGTCACACTCACACGAAATTCCCAGCCACTGTGACGAAACTGTAATTGGTATCATGATTCTTAAAATAGTTTTAATTGCGTCGTTGCGTAACATGCTCGTTGTCAAGTACTGATTACGATACAGAGAGAGAGAGAGAAAAACAAAATATCAAAAATCAATTTACATGTAACGAAGAAAGACGTGTTAAAGATGTGCCTTCATCAGAAACTCTTACGTTAGCCTGTTCTGTCTCGGGTGTTTCACGACTTACGGCATAACTGCAGGAGCTGGTTTCCTAGGTCTTTGTGATCAAAAAAGTTCATATAAACATGTGTCCGATTTTGGACGGTTACGGAGTTATGACCGTTTTAAACTCAGAATAGAAGGTAACGATTACTGACAATAAACGGAACAAAATAATAAACCAGCATAATACATGATACATTTAAAGTATGAATGTAAAGTTAACTTCGTTAAATTACCTTTAATTTGAATTTATTGGTGCTTAAAGCTGAATTTCGAAAATGCCACCGCCGGCCGCAACACAGGCTGCCTCTCGGTTGTGAACGGAGCCGTACATACCAACCCACCACGCCGTAGGAACCTCTCAACTGTCGAGAAAACGAGAACGCTCTGTCTGTAGCCGGCTAAAAATAGCGACCCGCCAGCTGACAGACGCGGTTCACACGAGGGCGTGTACGGGAATGAAAAAACGGTCATAACTCCGTAACCGTCCAAAATCGGACACGTGTTTATATTAACTTTTTTGATCATAATGACCTAGGAAATCACCTCCTGCAGTTATGCCCTAAAGTCGTGAAACACCCTGTATATATATTTGGTATGATACTCTATAAACTGTGTTTGAGTGACGAAAATGTTTACGTTATAATTAGAATGTTATTAAATTGTATTTTCAGTATAGGATTGGACCCAAAGGCTCCCTACCAGCGATCTTGTAGAAGAAACAGAACATATCTTCCGTACATCTGTCTACAGGGGAGAGTCAGTAAATTGGAAAAATGGATATAAAACGTAAAACATGTGATATTCAAACCCGGGGGGAAAAACATTTATTTCTCGACATGTCCGTCACCAACATCGATACACTTGTCCCATCGCATTAACAGTGCGTCGAAACCGGCAGCACAGAACTCATTTTGACTGTTGATCTAGCCACTTCCGCACCTGGTCGGGTATCATCTGCAACTTTCGAACGTCTTTGAGAGAATTTCTCGACCCATTTATGAACCGTTTACGCGACAAACACTTCCCACTGTAAACAGGAAACATTTGTTTATTAATATCCTTTGCATTGAGTTCTTTTGCATACAGAAGACTCAGAACAGACGGCTGCTCTCCGGTGGTCGCCTCCTCAAGCACGGTTGCCATTTTGACTACTGAAACGAGCCTTTCAACATGTGCATTTAGACTGTCGTGAAGCTGAACAGTGCTGTTACCTAGTGATACACGTAGAAAACGTATTACGGCTGTTTTACTTCAAGTTGTGACCTACTTGCTGACTCTCCCTCGTACGTATGACGCTCCGTTACTGATGTTTCAGATCACGCAGTTTGTCACAGGAAAACAAAGTGAGCAGTATATATTCGCTTCAGAAAATGTCGCCTCTGCTTCATGATGTCGACGTTGAGACCAAGAAGGCCACTTTTGCCCTGGCATGCTTCTGGGAACCTGATGCAATTTATGGGGCCCAGAAGGGAGTCATTCGGACCAGAGTTGGATATTGTGGCGGAGAGAAAGAAAATCCAACGTACAAGGATTTGTAAGTATAGTAAACCCTTGTTATAACGCACTGGTATGGCGAGCAGACCCTTCATTATCGTCTACGTCCGCTATGACATAGCAAAGGTGTATTCACGGAAGTACATCATAGGATACATAGCCAATACACGCAACAAACATAGAAACACAATGTGATCACACGAAGGTTTTATATTTGGGTTCTTTTTTATTTAAATAGTTTTTGAACTACGAAACCTTAGTGCCCCAACATCTAAAAAAATTAACAATTGTACACAGACAAATTTCTTCCGTTATATCCGAAATCCAGTCCCGTTATAACGAGGGTTTACTGTATAGTCGTGCTTGTTATTGAAATAATGCAAATTGGATCCATATACATATATTAATAGATGAGTGGGACATGTAGCAGGCATGGGGAAGATCAGAAATTCGTACAAAATGTTAAGTCAGCCTAAAACTACCCGTTAAGACTTCGTCACAGAAAAGAGGATAATATTAAAACATATCGTAAAGAAATGGGGTGTGACGATTTGGACTGAATTCCTCTGTTTCAGGATAGGGTCATGTAGCTTCGAATTCAATAATTGCGGTACATTTCTTGTCCAACTGTACGCTCATCATCTTCGCAAGGGTTGTGTTCCAAGGAGAGGTGATATTGATGGTGTTGATGATGATGANGTATTCGTTGGCGCGGTAACATTTATACCGAGCCATTTCCTATCAATGATAAGGTGATACACTTACAAACACACAGATTAGCGGGAGGGATTTATGAAGTACGCCGTTGAGATAGACTGAAGTGCCACGATATACATACCAAATTTCGTAAAGACTGGTTCATGCATTCGAAAATTAATAAGGGGATACACAGACAGCTTGGTGATTTAATAAGTCCAATTACATATGTTTTAGTTAGTAAAGCAGGCTAAAATATCGATCATTTATGATGTTCACACTTAAATGTATAAAAAATATGTGTAGACTTGCAAACCATATTTACAGCAGAAACACACTGGAGTAGTATAGTCGGTATAGTGACTGGCTATGGGCTGGATGACCGAGGGGTCGGAGTTTGAATCCTGGTAGGGTCAAGAATTTTCCTCTTCTCCACATCATCCAGACCTGCTCTGGGGCCCACCCAACCTCCTAACCAATGGGTACCCAGGACTCTTTCACCGGTGATAAAGCAGTCGGGGCGTGAAGCTGACCGCTCACCTTCAGCTAGTGCTGAGCTCAGAAAAAATGTGAATCTGTACATCCACTCCCCTATATGTCTTCATTAGTTAAGCACAAGGACAACTTTACCTTTTACACATCTAGCTGAAGGGCAGTAGCTGCAGAAGGAAATGAACACGTTGAAGCTACAACACGAAAGCCAACTATTTTGAGGACAGAAGAGCAACATTTATGCCACTAAAGACACCTATTAAGAGAAATGCCTGAGAATGACAACGCCTGGTATGCAGTGTCAGCAAATTTAGTTGTTCCCATAAATTATCATAGTGATATTCCACATCTTGAAAAAATCTACTGTAGCAAAAGCTGCAAATTGTCTTTGTATGGGTTCAGGTTTATCAAAATCAGTAATCGTAACAGAGTTACAAGCAACAGAAGCATGCCCCAATTTAGATCTGACTAAAGCATAATATAATGTAATAATTTACATGGAGTTAACAGTCTGATCGTGAAGCTGACCACATAATTCTTTCATGTTCTCAGGTTAAATATGCGTAGAGCCATGCCTCCCACTGTCTTACACATCATCATGTCATGGTGCATATAACACGGACATATTTAGTTTCACTTTTAACAAGAACCATAATAACAGTCATCATTAATGGGGATTAAGAAATACAGTTATGTTATTGCCTGAGATGAGTTGACTTTGGGAACTAGTGAACGGAAGTTGCATGTCACTTGCAGAAGAGAATATATCTGTGCAGTGTTTTTATAGTACGTGAAAAACAAGATACAGAAATGTATACTTTGCTTTGCTTTACGTAGAAACATGAAACCCCGATATGATAATGTGCTACTTGGTCAGGGCTATGACTGAACACAATTGCAGTTATGCAAAAGAAAAAAGAAGACCGTTAGAATGACGTTATTTCATAGACATTATTTAAATCAGATTCTTTTTATTCTTCCACATAATGCCATATTGTAGTGTTATTTTGAGGCACACATTGAAAAATTTATGAATGGGATATATTTAATTTTCGTATGTAATATAACAATGAACATTGAAGTCTTAATGCTGATTGCTACTTACACAGTTTTAACGTTTTGTCAGTGTCAATAAGTATCAATTTTTATATGTCATCTGTACATTATTAGTTCAATATTTATATTTTTGATTGGTAAATGTGTGGAATTTATCCAACAGCCATAGGAAATGGTCCAGTGGTAGGTTCTTGTCAACACAGTAATGAAACTGTAAAATGCAGAAATTTGTTGAAAAGTTGCGAGACTATCATCTTATCGAGAACTATGCTCCATGAGTTAGTTAATTAGTTATTTAGATATTTAGAGAGGGTGGGTTTCCCCATGCACCGCAACAAGTTTGATCTATTGTGCTTCCCTCTATGATATTCTACCAGTCTCTATACCCTACCGATAAATGGTGCGTACCATCAGTCCCGCTGAGCAAGCGAGTTCGGCCACTTGCTTAGCGGTGTCTATAATGCTTCCCCCATCTATCAGAGGCCTTAGAGATTATTGTTGGGCGGGAAACGTCCTGGAATTTGGCTCAGTGATCCCCTTTGGGGATATGAGGTTCTTTTACATGCCGTAAAGTTACGACACACAGCTTAAAGTCTCTCCCAGAGGACTTGTTCCCTAAATTTTTTCACCCTTAAAAATTCGTCGACCTCCGCCGGGTATTTGAACCCGCGTACCACGAGTCATGAGATGGGAACGTTACCTCTAGACTACGGAGGCCGCTTATGCTCCATGAGTTACTCTGTATCGTTTTGAAAAAGGTCCAACTTTTTAACAGATTTTTCACAGCCTGAAGTTTATTAATAATTCTTTCTCTTACAGAGGAGATCACACAGAAACAATTGACATTGATTATGATCCAAATGAAGTCACTTACAGTGAATTGCTGGATTTATTTTGGAAAAGCCATGATCCTACTGCAAAGACGACAGTCCAAGTATGTTGACATCTATGCCTGTGATGATGACTCGAAAGTAAAGTACTGACACAGGAGTGTTGCACTTTTCTTTTTACGTTTTATATCACCACATAGCAAAAAGGCTATTAGTTAGGATTCAAAATATGTTTATTGAAGGGTCAAATAAGAGTTACTGTGTAAGATTTGAGATTCCCACAGTAGTGAACGTGAAGATTGCTCTGTCTTCTGGGATGTGAGCCATGTAGTCTGATAGATAGATTCCTGCATTTTAGGGGAACATGTTGCCTCCATCTTCAGCATAGAAGAAAATGGAAGAGCAGGTTCCTCCTAAATTCCTACCACACTATATGGCATCCCAGAAGACAGTTATCTTCAAGTAAGTAATAGTTGTAGTGCATATTATAATTTGTTATACTGTTATTGATGATAACTTCAGTGTAGGAAATAAAAAGAATTCAAGTTTAGAATAAAAACTAAAGAAGAAAATAGTGTTGTCAGTGATATAAAATTCCCATGAATGTCTTTTGCAGTATATGTCAATCATTTTCTACCATGACCAAGAGCAGAAGAAATTGGCTGAAGAAAAGTTGAGAGAGGAAGTCAAGAAGCATTCTGATCCCATTCTGACAAAAGTTTTACCTGCCACAACATTTTATGATGCTGAAGAGTATGTGTTTCTGCCTTAATTTTTATTTGTGTAAATTCTCTATATATAATAATGATCCAGAAGTTTTAATTTAATGTTCCCTTCCACAGCTATCATCAAAAATATCGTTTACAGCAGCATCCTTCTCTCATGAAGGCTGTTAATTTGGAGCCTGGACCCAAAGTTAAAAGTTCTCACTTGGCTGCAAGGCTTAATGGATATGTTGTTGGGAAAGGTGGAGTAGCCCAGTTTGATGCAGAAGTGAAGAAGCTTGGCCTGGATGAAGGAACTGCCAAGATTGTTCGAGAGCTGTTAGTGAAGAACGAAGGTCGTCAGCTTGTCTGCTAAACCTTGTAACAGTTACATCAAGTTGCTACTGGGAAGGGACGAAAAGTGCACAGTATTTTGCATTGCATTTTACTATTTTAAATTGTTCAGACTGTTGAGATTTGAGATTGCCACAATTGTGAATATAAAGATTAGTGTTATCTAGGTTGTGATGTCGTGCAGCTTGGTAGATAGATACCACTGTTTCAGAGGAAACTGCAGCTTCCATCTTCAGGAAAGATGGAGGTGACAGGTTCTTTCAAAATGTTGTATCTGTGTGTCAAGCTTCAGGATATCACAGTGAATCTTGGTGTATTCATTTATTTCAGCCATTATAATCTGCTATTTTACTTTAAATGGAAGTTGTTAGTTTCTGAAAACTCTTCTGTTATGTAAATAACCTCCCCATTTTAATCTTTCAGAAGGAAATTTGGAGCAGTGATGAAATCACTTGCAAATATATCTGTCTGTGCCAAAACTAAGAAGTTTTGGATCAATTACTGTTTTTTATGAATGATATAGTTACAAATACCACTTCATTTTGAACCTACAATTTCAATATTACACCCAAAACAACTGGTTTCCTGTTCTTATTATTAAAGTACACATCAATAATGCAACAGTATAAAAGACTTCGAGAATATGTCACTCACTACAAATGTATTTTAATACTTTATGGTGTTAAAATCATTAAAATGTCAATAGGACACTATATTTTATACATTAAAAATGATTATCAAAATTTCTGAAATGTCTCTGGTTTTACATGTATTTTTCTAGTTTTTTACAAGATGTTATGGCTTCACATGGCCCATCATCAGGTGATTTTTCTTTTGGGGGTGACTACTGCACTGCACTTGTTCACCATGCTCCTTTCGTGCCTGTCAGTGTTTAGTTCAATCTCACGACTAGTCATTGCACATGGGGGCCTCAATGTCCCACAACATTATGGGCTTCACAGCCTGTTACAGGGATATCTTTACTTTTTTACTGTCTATTGCAGAGTATGCAAAATAGAATCTGAGATTACGTGTAGGTCACTCCATGGAATACACACTGTGTGAAATGGAAACATGGTTTCAAGAAATAGGTGAACATAATGTGATTGTGAAGAACCATCACACAGCCATTGAACATCAATGAAAGCTGCACAAAAATACAGGATTTTAAATAATAAAACTTAACAAATTTTTACAAGAGGATGGGGAAGTGTATTATTCAATATCCCCTCCAATTGAACAAGGGGACATGTCCAATAGCTGGAACAAGGACATCATCCTTTTACAGCTCATCCATTCAGTGACCTGAAAGTACCAAGCTTGACAGGAGATTGGCAAAAATATTTAATGAAACTAAACCATACCCACACAACTGCTTCTTCTTGCAAAGCTGAGAGAAATGTCAGAATTGTGAAGTTAAATGGCGTAACTTGGAACTAGTAGAAGGTTTTGGATAATCTGAAAGATACCATCTTACAGGGATTTTATTTTTCACATCTGTGCATTTACTTTCCCTTTTAGGTTTTATCAATATGACTGAGAGTAACAAGATACGTTGAACTTAGATTTAGGCTGCCAGAAGGCAGAAAGGGGCCGAGACTTCCTGCTGTGTAATGGTACTAACGCCCTTGATCCTATCATTGAACACGTTAATTTTTGTTTGACCCGTGGTACTTTGAAAAGCGTCGTTAAATAAACCGAGAATCGTAAATTTAACGTATTTCTGCAATCTTGCATTTGGCGAAGCGCTGTGATACAGTCGGGGTGGCTGGTGATACGCCGTTTTGGTTTCGAATGCTTGAAATTTTTAGGTACTTGGGGAATATATCCGCGAATCGATGCTGGTAACCGGTCCAGGTATTAGGAACCGGGATTAGAGTTACATTTTGTAGGTTAGGATGATTTGTCGTTGGCGCAGTTCTTCCACCCATTTGAAAATTGTGTATTTGTTCAGTTTAGATATTTCAGTTTCACCTTATCCGATACAGTGCCGAAGATGTCTGAGAAAGCTTGTTCGTTGTTATGATTAGATTCGAGGGATTCGAGAGAGCTTAGTAGATACGAGAAAGTGGAGAAGGTAGAGAAAGTCGTAACGGTCGTAACATTATATCGTAATGTGGGTATTTGCATGTTCTTATTTGAGGTTGTGTGTTGAATGTCTAATATGCAGTAACTTGAGAAAGGGTGCGTAGATAACTTGCTGAAATTATGAGCTGTCGATTATGCTCACAGTTCTAAACCTGACATTCTGAGAAGTTCAAGTTGTAGAAGTGTAATTTATGGTATTTATTTGTGAAAGAAATATTATTAGCCTTAATTTCATTGAAGAGGTCAGTTACTGATTAGAGTAAGTTCAGGAAATCATTGTAGTCATTGTAAGACGCACTGTGCTGTTCTTTGATTCGATTGTTTTTGTTGTGAAACGGGAAGCACGATAATAGCAAGTCACGTCATTATAGGTTATGATAACGAATACTATTGCAGTTGGACTTACTCGATTGTCGTTAGGCGCAATGGGTCTAAGAGGATCTACTGCAGCTTCGAGTGTAAGATTAACAATTTATTAAACGGGTCCTAACGGGACAGATTGCCATCATGTTTATCTTGTAGATGGATTATAGCATATTGTAATGATAGATTGCATGTAAGAGTAGTGTTTTAGCATATTACTTTTTGTATATTACAGAATATGCCATCGTTACTGCATGATATTGATGTTCCAACTAAGAAAGCCACTTTTTCCATGGCATGTTTTTGGGCACCAGATTCTTTATTTGGGGCCCAGAAAGGCGTCATTCGAACTCGTGTTGGATTTGCAGGTGGTACAACAAAAAATCCCAGTTATCACAGTATGTAAGTTGAATAAATTTGTTAGTAGAGTAAGTCATCTTAATGGTGGTGTTATTAGATAGCATTAACTGTCATAGTTGGAGGCATACTGATAGATACTCCATTTATGGTCATATCTGTCCATCTGTTAATGGAAATTTTAAAGAAGTTGGACTAATTATTTCAGAATTTGATATAGGAGACTTTCACTAAATGTCAGGAAATTCAGACTGTGGTCAAATTAAACAGTAATGGAAATTTCGTGTCAAGAATATGCATTTGTATACCCGTCTCCAATGGAACTGTGTAACTCTCGAAATTTTTTTCGGAATGACAGGTGTTTCAAAAGAAAGTTTTGGAGAAATATGAAATACACATGTCATCCCCAGTACATTGGTTCTCCCTTACAAATTTTTAAATAGTTAAAATAAATCTTTATACTGTGGCATTCTGTATCCCAAGAACCATCAGACTGATTTTTATGAAATATTTTAAGTACTTTATATGCAAGTCCTTGCACAGCTATATCATAGATAATACACAGTTGGACAGATTTGTTAAAAATTCACTATGGAAGACATTCAGGAACCATTGTCAGGCAGTTTCTGTTTTTATCCATATTGGTCTGTAAGAAAGTTCACATTACATAAGGCTGTAAATGGACTGTCTCACATACTCCATTAGTATTTTATATACATACTGCAGGTAAGGTTAGTAAGTTGCAAGGAATGGATGCTGTTAGGAATTCTGTGTACTGCATTATGGAGTGCATCCTTTGCAATCTTGTTACAGAGGGGATCACACTGAATCTATTGAAATTGACTATGACCCGAATGAGATATCATACAGTGAACTGCTGGATATGTTTTGGAACCATCATGACCCAACTGCAAGGACATCGAAGCAGGTATGCAGTCTGATGCAGAAAGGCCTACACTTTGTAAATAAACTAATGCTGTGGATGTAGACTCAGAGCCCTCAGTGCTGTCAATACTGACAGCAGTACAGTTCTAAGCTAGTTCCATCCATTTCCTGTCCTCAAGGTATATGCCCTTAAGATTGATCATAATGTTATACTCCTGCTTTCTGTCTCCCAAGCTGATATTTCCCAGGAGGTTTCCTCACCAAAATTCTGTTTGCATTCCTAGTCTTTACCATCCTAGCCACATGTCCAGCCCATCATGGCATCTTAGGTACCACCATCCTATATAAATCACAGAGTTCTCCATAATACAATATCCAAAATTGCTAACTTATTAATTTTTATTAGCTATAGCGTAGTTGGTTGAGGTACTATGCTACAAGTTGTAGGTCGCCTGCAACACAGGCTGTTTCCCTGTGAGGCCATTGGATTTTTTAATTGACCTAACCCTTTCAGGCATGCTATGGCCACAGGGTTGACTCAGCCTCTAAAAGAAATTATTACCAGGAATCTTTCTGGGGGTAAAGGGTGGCCAACAGGTGTGTAAGGTTGACAGCCTCACTGCCATCTGTGAGCCAATTGTCTAGAAAATATGGGAGCCTCATTGTCTCACAACAGTATGGGCCTCCATGGCCTGTTACAAGGATAGATGTACAGTATGCGCCAAAATATTCAGTACTGAAATGAAAATATGTGAAGGCCCCTTGCACAACAGAACCACCTCAAATCCTTAAGACATGGTCCAGTCACCATGTCCCTGTAGTGTTCTTGGGTGATATTAAGAGCATTGTCTTCCTCATCCTCAATGAAATAGGGGCCACAGCACACCATATCATCACATGTGTACTATGTACCGGTTTCTGGACGATAACATCTGGCCGCTCAAAACCGAGGAAGCAAGTTGTCTGGTGACCAGTTCCNTGTGACGTGCTGAGCTATGGATGACATATTACAGCGCTTTTCACTGACAATACACACAATATTTCACGAATCACTTTAACTTTCTCTTCAATGCTTGAAACTTTCCTTTTCATTGCCATGTTTTCGCTACTGCACTTCTCTGGGTTTAGGCAGGAACACTATAGGGTAAGTAGACAATGTGAGGTCCTGTTAGACGAGATTCTAGGAAAGGAATGCAGTTAACAACCTGCCGCGTCCTCTTGCACTATTCACGCAGTCCCACCCCACACCCTTGTTTTCGCATAAAACCCACGCTCCTCTTGCAGCCCGCGGTCGTATTCTTCCAGGACAGTCACGTCAGCAAGTAGAGAAAGTGAGGGTGGGCAGACACATCGAACTTTCCCACGATATCAGAGAAATTCAGGAATGAAAATGACGTTACATACGAGGTTGATGCATTTGTGCATGTCGTACTAAGCAAGGTATAAAAACAGTTGCTTTATGAGGAATTAGTTCGTACCATTGAATATTTGACGCAATAGACAAGGTGTCGCAGAAACCGATGTTGCTATAACCAAGTTTTACTGTATGTCCTGTTTATACCACTGTCTGTTCATGTGAAGGCCCCTTGCACAACAGAACCACCTCAAATCCTTAAGACATGGTCCAGTCACCATGTCCCTGTAGCGTTCTTGGGTGATATTAAGAGCATTGTCTTCCTCATCCTCAATGAAATAGGGGCCACAGCACACCATATCGTCACATGTGTACTATGTACTGGTTTCTGGATGATAACATCTGGCCGCTCAAAACCGAGGAAGCAAGTTGTCTGGTGACCAGTTCTGTATGAGCTGAAATAATAGTCAACTAGGAATACTTTTTCCTCCATCAAGAGGCCCATTTCCAACAACTGCACAACACAACTTCCTTTTCACTACTGGGAACACGTGTGGCTGGAGCTATGCCCCGTCAACAAATGCACATGCGCGTTCAAGATGCGTGAGTTTCAGTACTGATATTTTTGGCGCATACTGTGTCTTTCTTTATGAACATTTACCAGAAGATCTAGAAAATCACTGAAACGTCTAGCTCAAGAGACTGGAGTGTCAAAGTCTAGTGCAAGAACAGCAGCACAATTGCTGAAGCCATCTAGTGAAAGTTGGTGTCTGGTGTGTTGTAAGTTCAAGAGGATTGTTGTACATGTGTTTTTAACAAAACAGTTAGTTGTGAAAGATATTTACATGTAGAGGGACAGTGTTTTCAGCACAACCTGTGATCTGTGAACAAAGGTAAGAGCTTCCCTTCATTCTAAATGTTATCTTCATGCTAAGTCATCAGCAAATTTCATGTGCGCTTCACTGCCAGCAGTGCACTGGTAATGGTGAAGCGCAGAGCCTTGAATGTGACTATTTTATTAAAAAACAACCCATAGATTGCAATGTACCATTTATACATGTACTTGTATAGTATTTGTAATTTTTTTGTTGCTAAATTTTTAACATTCTATATTTATGTGTAAATTTTAAGGTATGCTATTCTGATATTGTGGATTTACTTTCTGGCAGTACACTTCGTTAATTATGCATCATGACCAAGATCAAAAGGAGTTAGCTGAGAAGACGTTGAAAGAAGAAGAAGAAAAGAAATCTGGGTATATTGTCACAAAAATCTTACCTGCTAAAGAATTCTATGATGCCGAAGAGTAAGTTACAAGTTGGCTGTTCTGTTGCAATAAATGGTATGTAGTGGTTCAGTACTGTATGAGAACCACATGTTCTGTTTTCAGTTACCATCAGAAATATCGCTTACAGCAGCATCCATTACTTATGGAGGCAACGGGTCTGGTTCCTGGACCTCAGCTGAAGAGTTCTCATTTGGCTGCAAGACTTAACGGTTATGTTGTTGGGAGTGGTGGTGTGGCCCAGTTTGATTCAGAAGTGTCACGTTTGGGTCTGGATGAGAAAACAGCAAATTATGTTCGTAAACTGGTGGTCAAATATGAAGGTCAAGGATTATTTTGTTAATTTATACTAATAGCAAGATTAATTGGGTGAAAATGCCATCTTAGAAAGGAATGTAACAAAACAGTAATTTTCGCCCATTTATATAAACGTTTATTTGGGGAAGTAAGGATGGTTTTAAATTGCAGTAATAACCAGTAACTGCTAATAAAATATTTTACCAGAATGTGTGTATTGCTTGTGATGCAAAAAACATATTTGTATTCCCAATTGTTCTTGTTCTTTATTTGCCCAGTTGGTGAAGGAAAAAAGGCTTATTTGATGACCTTTAATTATATGGCCAATGGACACTGGAAAGGGGGGGAGACAAACTAGATATCTGCTTCCCTTGCATTTTCAGAAGAAACCTAGAATTTCAGAAAAGAAGGAAATATGGCAGATATAATAAAATCAACAAGTATTTGAAACAGTAGTAAAAATAGTCATAAGTAGCTCAAATGTAAGATTGCACAGTACTTTTCAGGCTTTCACGTCCAAAAGACTTCAGTTGGAGCCCTTGTAAGAAAAGTCTACGGTTATGACTTTATGAAGTCCTGCCCCCAATTTATAACGGATTTTTATTATGCTAATATATAAGGCTGCTTGGTGAATATGGGGGTTTGGAAGACAGAGGTGGAAGTAGTGATTTAAATCTGAGGAAGAGAATATGAAGGTATTGTATGGTTAAGTAAAAGACTTTTTGGGTTGGTGTTGGTAAGATGTGGAGCTGGGACAGTGCAGTTGGTATAGCAAGTGGGTAAGGGCTGGGTGACTGAGGGGTCAGAGTTGGAGTACTGGTAAGAGGCAAGAATTTTCTCTTCTCCATGTCATCCAGACTGGTTCTGAGGCCCACCCATCTGCTTATCCAATGAGTACAGGGGTCTCTTTCTTCGGGGGTAAAGTACCCAAAGCGTGAAGCTGACCACTCACTTCCGAGTGGTGCCTAGCTCAAAAAAAAACTTTGCTCTCTATATCCACTTGTCTCTATGCCTGTATGGCGTAGTGCTTAATTAGTGAAGCATAGGGACAACTTTCTCAGTCTCTGTTTCTCTCTCTCTTACTGGTAAAGTGGGGCCGCGCCATAGTTGACTTCCCCACCGCGGCGGCCCGGGTTCGTTCCCCGGTTTGGTCAAGTGGGATTTGTGGTGAACAAAGTGGCGCTGGCGCGGGTTTTCTCCGAGTACTTTGGTTTCCCCTGCCAATCTTCATTCCACCGAATTCTCCATCATCATAATCACCCGGAGCAGGCTACAATAAGCCAATCGGAGACCGCCGTGCCGAGTGGACCCAGTTGGACTCCACCCCCCACTAAGCGAATTAAAAAACGAAACATTGATGGTAAAGTGTGATGCGAGATGCTGCGAAGGCAACAACTGGCGTACCGCGACCTGTCGAGGTCTTCCTCGTGTTTTCAGCTCTTGTTTCTAGGTGGCAGCACAAAATGTTATACAATGTTGCTAATGAATATCTGTAACTTGAACATTATATGGTACACTGATGTGGATTGTTTTGAGCGGTTTTGAGGTGGTGGCTCTTGAATTTATTAAGAAGAAGATTGAAATTTCATGATTTGGTCGAATTGATGAAAGAAATGTGGCTCGTAATTTTGGTTTTATGGTGTTTCAGTAGTAGTAGTAGTGTGTTATGCACAACACCGAAACCGGTTGTTATGTGGCATGGAATGGGTATGTCATATTTTCTTTCAATGTGCTTCGGATTTCGAATAGTTCGATTTTCTTCGCCTGTTGATTTCATACAGAATTAATCAATCAAATTTGTTATAACAGGTGATTTTTGTTGTAACCCTCTGAGCCTTGGCAGGGTGAAATCCGTAATTGAAGACAGTGTACCGGGCATTTATGTGAAATCTTTGAAAATTGGATCATCTGTTGTGGAGGCCAGTATTTTATCTCTTATTTTCGAAATGTTGTAAAAATATTATCAGAACCTCTGTACATTGTATAATATACTAATTTTCCTTATAAAGCTATTGTTTTTGGATGAGTGGACTGCAGAATGTAGAACAGTTCAAGACTTAACCTGTAAAGCACTGACATTTTATGCCCTTCCTTGTCGCCAGGTTGTAATAATACCATATTCTACTGACCCATTACGTTATATTCATATTTGAGCTACACAAGGTTAAGAGGGGGGGGGGCAAGAGATTTTGCTCTGATGTCAGTGCTGGAAGGCAGAGTAGAATTAGATCTTTTTAACATTCTGTTGACCCTTTGTAGGATTAAGGCAAGGGTATAAAACATGTCAAATACAGTACTTCAGTTAATATATATGTATGTATACATACATAGTTGTATTTACATGTTACAAGAATACAATATTATTTGGACCAACATAGTACGTATGTCAGTCAAATGTTACATGTATAAATATTGTAACATGTTTGGAGTAGATACTTCCATTGTAACACAATAACAGTGGGCCGTTGCGTAGGAATTCCAGAATCAACAAAGCAGCATTTCCCCGGTGATAGACATCGGAAGGTTCACTGCGTAGCAATGGCTGTGGGTATATAACAAGGTAATGCATTCGCCTAGACAGTCTTGAGATAGCTGTCGCCGAAGACAATTGGGATTCAGCCACGGTCATGGACAGTTGGAAGATAGCCGCCGCAGAATACAGTTGAAGTGATAACAGTTGTACGGTGTTTAAGAGTGAATGTTCAATAAAGATTTGCTAAATCTGAGACCCACATAAAGTTATTTGTCACGTGACATACCCAACACGTGATAATATTTACAGTGCTTAAAAATTTTTAATTAAAGTTAATTATTACTACCTTATAGGAACCTCTCAGGTCTGGTATGTATGGTGTATTTTATTTTCTTGTTGGAGCTGTGTGATTAACTTCCAGTAGCATACTGATGTGGTCACATCGATTTTTATCATTTCATTTGAGAGTGCTTTGCGGTAATACTGTTCTTCTATCGTTGTACCTAGGTGGTTTATGATTTCATGGCAGTTTGTTACAATGGTGTGCTTGTTTATTTTTAGTGTTTGTTGCTGTTTCAGTCATCCTCTTCGTTTGCATGTCCTCGTATGAGAGCCACGAGAGCTCTTCATATCTGTTAGAACACAAATAAATGGAAAATTTCATGATATAAGTAGTGCTGATGTAAATAAATAAAATATCACTGTAGAGTGTTTTGGCAGCAGAATGATGGTATGGAAACTTGAAATACGGAAAAGATGATCAAGACCTTGAAGTATGCAGGGAAGGTGGTGTTAATGGAATTTTGGGTTGCATGTGACATTCCCGAGTTCCTGGACTGTGGGTCATGAAGAACTCAGACTGCTACTGCACAGTAGTGTGGCACCTGAAGGGAGTAACCAGGATGAAGTGCACTCTCTTGCATGGTGTGTAAAATGATCTCTGTCTTTGCACAAGCTGCTGGCGAGTGTGGGCAGCCAAAGGTTTGTGTAGGCGAGCAGCCAGATGATCATGTCCTGGACATATTCTGAAGACAGCCACAGAGCTGGAATTGGTTTGTTACTGTTTATTGTATTCAGAATATGGCTAAATTGGGATTTTGGTATTAGGATACTTCTGAAAAGGGTTTTCTTTTTTCAGCATTTATTTGCAGCTGCAGACAGCAAGCACTTACCATGGTTGCTCTACAGCCTATTGTTGGACCTTGGCAGCTTTTTCAGTTTCTTGATCTTTTTATGTAGTTGGAAGAACTCCTTGGACAAGGGATGAGCCTGTTGCAAGGCCACTACCTGAACACAGGACAGCACAAACACAGAAGAAAACACACTGACATCCATGCCTCAAGTGGGATTTGAACGCATGATTTCAGTGTTTGAGCAGGCAAAGATAGTTCATGCCTTAAACCGGGCAGCCACTGTTATAGGATGTAAATGATATGACAGGCATATTTGCTACCATGTCATAAGTATCATCAGTGTAAGAAATTCTCTTGATAGTTTTCTGTACGTAAACTAGAATAATTTTGACATCACGGGTTTTAAAGAGGTTAAAAATAAATTGGTTCTGCTGCACATTGCTGCACAGTGAATTTTTCTTGTGGTGAAATATTCACTAAGGCATGGGGTGTAACTTGGCAGATACAAAGGATTTCCAGAAGGAATATCAAAGTGTGTGTTCCTCGTAACATTTTATGACGCATATGACCATTGCTGGGCAATGGCTCAGTAAACACATTCCCAAAGTTAACGCTCTCAACCATAAGGCATCCATTGCCAGGTAACGGGTCACCAAGCACGTTTCCACAGCAACGAATAAGCACAATAATACAGGAACTGTTTGAGGTGGTGATTTCTCTTTGGTTCTTCATGAAGTTATAAATGCATGACGTATGAGAACGCTCAGGCAGTTCGGAAGTTGCAGGAGAACGAGAATGGAGCAAATCTTTTGCAGTGAATTGTGAACTTTTGTAATTGATTGTAATTAACACATTGCGGACCGGTTGTTTAAATATTTAAATCACCCTGGGGACGGGGGTTTTTAAGCCTAGCACCCTAACTTGTGCACTTTAAAAATTAATATAAAATCTAACTAATTTTATGAACTAAAATTTTTCGAGAACACTTACCAGAGCTCCTAGAAGTGCTTGCGCATATGATATCTCTGGAAACGTTCATCGGAGCTCTCACTTTCACTCGACACAATATTTTTTCGGGGGGGGGGGCCTGTGGCCCCTGTCACTGTCACTTTCACTGAGGCTGGCCTCGCTATCAGAAGACGAAGCAGATGGCAAATCTGATAGCTCATAGGCGAACAAATCCAATATTTCTTTTTCTCCGAGAGAATGCTTCGCCTGCAACTGCTTTCGTCTCTGATTCATGTTTCACTGCTAACTTCCTGGTTCATACGTGGAAGCTTGGACTCGAACAAAGGCTTTTTTCTTTAGGGTGTGACAGGAAATGAGCGTGATCATGTTACTGGCTAAGCTAGCAAACATTCCCGAGGTCAACTACGCAGTAGTTATGATGCAACATGGCCACACAGCGAGATATAGTCGGTTGCAACATAACGCGTCAGAAAAGGGCCAATTGGCCCGCCCGCTCGGCAGCGCTGTAGAAACGTAGAGGACCAACTGGCCCCTCCGGTCCTGAATGTGTTAAGAGTGATTGTAAAAGAAGGCATCAATAAATCCAATCATTGAATCCAGAACCCATTATTATTATTAGTCACAGAACCCCAGACACATGACAACATCTTGGAAGTCCCACTACCTCATTTAAAGAATAAATCATTCCAAACATTTTCACCATGGTAGTGAACATGAGTCACTTGGGTGTATGATTGTATGATGTCATTGTGTAGCTTAAATTGCTGTTCACACATATGTAAAGTTTGTAGAGTTTATTTTGATTTTCTAATTTAATAACTGAATATGTTTCATACTTTACCTGAAGATGAAAGGAGAGCCAGCTTCTGAGATGTGTTTCTTTGACAGAAGAAAGCAATGAAAATGTCCAGTATACACATATATGCGTGCGTGTTTGCGTGTCAGTTTCAGTGTAATAACACCTTCAACACAACTTTAGACTAAATAATACAGATGGATGTAGAAGAATTACCAAATTTTATAAAAATTGTTGCTGTGAAATTCGATAAAGCTACAAGAATGTGTTTTTCACCATATGAAATAAAACCTTATAAAGTTTTATGTATGTAATATGTTGTACTGAGCACATAGGCTGTGTGCATGTGTGTGTGTATGCACGTGTGCCAAGGAGCAAAACCAGATGCACATGTTTAAAGGAAGTTCAAAGCAAACTGGGGTGAAATCTCTTGGTTTCAGTTGGTCAGATGTTGTGCTCAGAGCAGCTACCCACTGTCTTCTGCAGTCTTTGCAGTGTCATTCAGTTCGGTGCATGCGCTGCCCATAACATAAGGAAGACACATAAAATAAGTAAAATATTCAGAGAGTTTCTTTCATATGGTGAAAACCACATTTGTATAACTTTATTGATTTTCACAATAAAAATTATAAAAATGTATTCATTCCTCCTCAGCCTCTCTGTATTACAGTCTATCTGTGTACAATGTTGTCACATTTGGTGCGAATTTGAAATAGTATGATATAAAGAGTATTAAAGAAGTCTCACTTTGTATGCAAAGTTTGAAATAATGCGAATCCCAAAAAAAGCGGCATGAATCATGTCTGTGTGTTTCAAAACTTGTCTTCAATTATGCATGTTTTGAATCATGGGAAATCTTTCAGGAATGCATCCTTGCATGAAATGTGACTTCACTGTAGTTGTGAAAGGTTACCTATTTTCTGTATGTGTTTTTCAGGATATTGAAAATGGCTTCTTCCTAAATGCAAACAAACAAGTGGAAGAAGTTTGCAAGCAATTAGCCAGTGATCCAGAGTTGAAGGATGGATATAACGCACTGGGTTTCTCCCAGGGTGGACAATTTTTGTATGTTGACTATATACATGTATTTGATTGCCTATTGTCTCCATTGCATGAGAACAGTAATTTCACTTATAGTGTACATTGTATACAATTCCTTCTGAACTGCAAAATATATTCTTTGAATTCATTTATATATATGTCCACCAGAGCAAGCATTTTGAACATCAACAAGCAAAAGTACCTGTTGCCTTGCCTCGCTTACCTTGTGAATAACAGTACTTACTTACTCACTCACTCATGGAGCTGAGCCCTTCTGGAGTGGCTTCCAATTCTGCAGCTATGTTCATAAGAGCCCTCCACTGGTCCCTATCCTGAGCCAGATCAATCCATTCTATACCTTCCCATCCTATCTCTCTAAGATCCATTTTAATATTGTCCACCCACCTACACCTTGGTCTTCCCAGTGGTCTCTTTCCTTCTGGCTTTCCCACCAATATCCTATAAGCATTCGTCTCCCCCCATTTGTGCTACATGCCCTGCCCACCTCATGTGAATGACACAGTATGTGGTGAAAACATTAAGGAAGGAATAACACTTCAGTTCAGAAATTGAAGTTTACTGTCTTGTAAATAATGTAGAACTTATGATTTGAAGCTAGAATGTTAAAAAATGCTATTTAAATATGTGTTTCTGCTTTTTATACCCTGTAGACATTGTGTTAAAATTATGGAAAATTTAAATAAGAGAGTTCGATAATTTTCATGTGTGTTTATGAGATCGTTGTAGAATGCTGATTGTATGAGATCAGAAGAGTATGCATAGTGTAACAATTCTGAGATGTTTAGTTACTTCTGTTCAATTACTTTGAAAGCTGTAAGACTGCAGAATATTGTTCATAAAATGCACATTTCATTTTCCTTTAAACTTTTGTTACAGCCATTTTTCATTCTGATAAATGTGTAGCGAGTTACACTCGAGATTCACACAGAAACAGAATTCACATTTGGCTAGATTGGATGCGAGGTCTAGGAAATAAGACCTTCCATTAATGATTTATATATTTCTGGAACTGTAATTCTTGGCGTTTAACGCCATGCACCCCATTGATTCTGTTAAAAACCCATAATCCGACCACAGTGAAAATAAAGCTTCTGTTTTTCCAAGAAATTATTTTTACAGTTAGGACCTATGTATGCTTTAGTGTCATTAATCATTGGTTGAAATTCCTAAAAACTTGAAGTTCTTAATAGTTGTTGTGTTTTTTATTTTAATAGTAAACAAAAACAGTTCTGTTAGCAGAAATTGATTATAGTGCAGCACTAGTGAGAAACTTATGTTTAAAACACAGGTGAGTTTTATGTGACTGAATTTTTTATGCTTGAATTAATTATAATTATTATTTTCAAGATCTGACATCCCACCCAGTCACGTATAAAGTCCTACCAGTGGGATGTGTCCCACCAGTTGAGAACCACAGTACTAACATATACATATGCTAATTGTTTGTTTATCCCTTACAACAGAACAACTCTCAAAATCTCGTTCACATTAATTGTGTATAATGAGTTTACTGATTACAGTGATATCTTGTTACATAAGCCAAAACCTGTAGCAAGATAGGATTGAAACCAATAAACTCCTTGTAGACAGTTAATGTGAAGGAGATTCGGAGAGTTGTTCTGTTGTGAGGGATAAACAAACAAACAGTATAAGTTAACACAACAGGATACATTCTTTGAAGAACACATACATAATTGTAAAAATGCACTTCTTGGATAAAAGGAAGGTTTGTTTTTACATTGGTGGGATTATATCAGTGTGGAGCATGAATGGTTGGGGCTGTGGGGGGGATTGGGATATTCTGGGCAAGTTGTGTAGTAAAATCAAATTGATTATGTTCTCAGAATATCAGAGAGCAATTGTGTAATTTTGTGCATTTATAAAATCTTGTTGAATATTGGTAATTCATAAAAACTCTAAATTTGTTGATTTAAAAATGGAAGAAAAAAAATAACAAAAAATTGTTAATTGCACCCACACATAGTTCAGAAAAGGGGGGGGACAATGAGATCTTTTCTGTTTTGGATTTTCAGGGCGGTCTAACGCCTTTTTTTACCTTATTTGTTGGACTTCATTTGATACTTGTGAAAGATATGGTCTCTGCAACCTCAACAGCTGATTTGCAGATGCAAAAAAAAAACATAAATATGTGAAACCATTACCGCTGTAACACCTGCTGGATTCTAGAGGAATTAAAAACAGATTTTTTTATTTGCATTAACATTTTCAGCCCATGTCAAAATGTTGGGTTTTGTTCAACTTTTGTGAGTGTTGGACATTGTAGTCTCATATTGGTTATAGAAACAACATTTTGGAAACTGGTCCTGGTTGGAGTTAGAGGTTAGCTCCATCTAGTTGTCCCAATTGAGAGGAAACAAGAAAACTAGCAGAGCAGAACAACAAAATAGAATAAGTAAGGATCAGACTCTGTTTTTACCTTATGATGGTGACAGAACCAGTTTCTGAAACATTGTGTTTCTATAACTAAAATGAGATGATGTGTCAGTTTAATGGCACAGCCTTGTCACAGATCTTCAGATTCAAAAAGTTTTCATCCCCTCAATACTTTACTGGAAGGATTTTCATGACCATAAATGTTGTGAACATAATGACTATCAGTTAGTTAGCTGGACTTGTGGGACATATGCATGTGACTTTGCTAGCCACATTAGTAATAGTTATCACAATGTGAAAGTTTATTCTTGCTCTTTGGTGCATTGTGCATTTGTAACTTCATATTTATGTATGTAATTCCCAGACGTGCAGTTGCTCAGCGTTGCCCGTCACCTCCTGTGTTGAATCTGATTTCTTTTGGTGGTCAGCATCAAGGAATATATGGGTTACCACATTGCGGGTATCCAAATAAGTGGTGTAACTATATTCGGGAAGTGCTTACATATGGAGCTTACTGGAGGTAAATTTTAAAGTGGCTGAATTCTTATGATAATAGATGTCCACTTATTTTCATATACACTTTGTAAAGATAAAAGGTAAAAGTTATCCCCATGTTTAACAGCACCACATCATGAAGATGGGGGAGTTGAGGTGTAGTTCCATGTGTTCTTAACCTTGGCAGTAGGTGGAGGTGAGTGAGCAGCTCCATGCCCTAACCACATTCAGATAATAAGGTCCAGTACACATTAAATAGGGGGACATGTGGTAACGTAGTTGGTTGAGGCACTGTGCTAGAAACCAGAATGTCATTTGTCTGATTTGTGATGAGGGTGTTTGATTTTTCAATTGACCTAATCCTTCAAGCCACACTATGGCCATGGAGTCGACTCAGCCTCTAACAGAAATGAGCATCAGGACTATTCTTGGGATATACCTGGGGGTAAAGGGTGGCCAGCACGTAGGGCTGACAACCTTACAGCCATCTGTGAGCCGATTGTCTAGAAAATGTGGGAGCCTCAACGTCCGACAATCCTATGAGTCTCCGTGGCCTGTTTCAGGGATAGCTTTATGGTTTCATTAAATAGAATGGTGAGCTAGCTCAGATGCTATGGAAAACAGAAAAATATGTTACTGCTGCTGGGAGTTGAACCTTGATTCTTTGGCTGTTTGGTCTGAAGGCTGATCTCTCTACAGACTGAGTTGTTTGGGTTCCGAAACAATTGGACCTATGTTATTTTATATATTTAAGAATTTTTAGTGATGTAATTGGTATTTTGGATTATGTTTGAATGGGACACCTCTGAATACAAGTTAGAAGCTTTACTGTTTGGGCTATCTTGTAAGGTAATTTGAAATAATGTTATATTTTAGCGTCCTGTTGCACTGATTTAAGTTCATGATTTGT